CCGCGACCCTATACATGGCAGGGTCGCATGATGCTACATATCATTGGCGTCGGATTTTAAGGCTTTCCTCCTCATTTGCTCCACATCTCTCTCTCTCTCTCTCTCCAATTAAAACTCTTAGGAAACCCTAGGTTCGATCTTTGGTGCATTCATCCAGGTTCAAGGATTTGGGTTAGAGGATCAAGATCTACACAACCTTCTCCTCAATTTACTAGGTTTTGGGTTTTCTTTAAAGGAAAATTGTATCAAAATGGAACGAACTTTGGTCTGATTCCTATTTTGGAGAACTAACTTTTAAAATTATCATTTTAGGGGTCCAGGTAAAATTTTCATTTATTTAAGGGTTTGATTAACCGGTTTAGTAGGTAGCCGGTTACCTTAATGTGATATGGCAAATCTATTAAAACATATTAGGTGGATTTCAAATGCCGCTAGTAATTCTTTGATGATTTTTGATATTACTACTAAAATTTGGGCTTTCATTGATGAACAAGTTGTATAAAATCTGAAGAGAACGGATTTTTGGTAGATCTCGCGAACGGAGAAATCATCACTGGAAAAATAGATCACCGGTGGATTGACCATCAACGGTGGATAAAGGCCGCTAGTAATATGCCTATAATAATTTTCATAAGTATTTTAAAGTTGACTGACTAAAAAATTAAACTAGTTAATTAAATTACTGGCAAAATTCCTTTGGTGATTTAATTAATTAGTTAATTAAATTACTAGCAGATTATCCGTCGATAATCCGTTGGCGATTTAAATAAAAACATTTTTATTTTTCTAAAATTCTTTGAAATAAAAAAATATATAAAAAATCTTATAAACTAATTGGCGGATTTGTGCAGGGAACTAATTAATTAAAATCCACCTCAAAAATCCGTTGATGAATTAAACAATTAAAAAAATAAAAACTTAATTAAAAAAATAAAAACTTGGTGGCGGATTTCTAGCTGAGTTTAGTTAAAATAAATAGAAAATCAAACTTCGCCACCGTAGATGAATTTACATGATTTAAAAGATTATTTCTTTTTTTCAAATCCGCCAAAAATTCAGGTAGAAAAATCCGCCAAAAATTCAGGTAGAAAAATATGTCGGCAAAAGCTTGCATTTCTAGTTGTGTATCACGTCAAATCACGGTCGGTTTCTATAATTGTTCGAAAAACCATGTGAAGCTTTATGTCGTTTATAAGTTGTCTGGTGATTGATGGAAATCACATGTCTATCAGCTGATAAATCCATCACTCTTGATATTCTCGTTTCTTAAATCGAGAAGCAAACTCTAAATAAAGGTGTTCTGCCGACGGTCAACCCTAGGCCAAGGTATGATTACTTTCTTCCAAACTCCCAATTTAAGGTGTGGAGATGATCGAGAATGTTTACGGAAAGTAGAACGAACAGTTAGTCAACATTTAAAGGAACTCTCTACCATTTGGCTTACATTGGGGAAGCTATATGTGTTTCTTCCTCAACCGCAGAGGGGGAGAATTCGGCCTCTGGAAAGCCAGCTACCAGTGGCCAAGATAAGAAAAAAGATAATAGAGATAAGGGAATTGGCGAACAGGTTCAGGGGGAGCAACCTGTTTCAACCGAAGATGCTCCTGTGGGGGAGAAAGAAAAAGAATCAAAAGCTCTCCAACATAAAAGAAGTCGAAGAATAATTAGATTGATCTCCCTGCAAAGGGAATATATCGTTGACAGCGAAGGAGGAGGCGGAAGCAAAGAAAAAGAAAGCAGTATTTTACATTTTAGTAGACATTGATGATATCATTCTAACTGGCTCCAATTTTTGCCTCCTAACGTCTGAAATTTCCAAAATTTCAGCTTGATTCTCCTTAAAGGATCTTGTATTAGAGAAAGATTTCATCAAGATGGAAGGAGTTACAAATCAATTGATACAGGAGTTACAAATCCAACTACAATAATGTGACATGAGAGTTACAAATATTACATAAGTTGGATAGATATTGTTGCATAGACTAAGAGTTTCATACTTGTATAAATAACTTTGTAACTTTTCTTGTAAACTTATATGCAAATATATTTCTCATACAAACATCGTCGGATTGACCACATTACCTTTCCCTCAAATGTCTCCAACAACACCCGAACCTTAGGACACGACTTTCTTGGTGGTCGACCTCATCGACATTTGTAGGTGGGGATGGCCTCCCGTGTCTAGTTTGCACACATACACTATTACCAAAAGACCTTTGTCATTTTACAAGCAGGAAACCTATTTAAAACCCAAGAATAGAGCCACAAATCAAAAACCATAAATGGAATATTTTATATCGTTTTTCATGTTCATTTTATGATTTTTTTTTGTTTCAAATTTATGATTTCTTGTTGGTGGTGGTTGATGCCGGTGTTACTCATTGGTGGTGGTGGTGATGATAGATGTTGTCATGTTGCTGTTAATGGTGGTGGAGAGATACAATGTAAGATGGGGATGGATCACTTGTTAGGAAAGAAGAAAATAAGAAACTTAACGTTAAGGTGGGAAAAGGAAAATGGATAATTAATATTAGAAAAAAATGACACTTCAGCATCTAAATGACAAGGCATTTCGAGAATATTTCGGCAACAACGTGGCCACGTCCATGTTTATGTGTCACATGAGGCAATTAATTGGTTAATTAATTAATTAAACAGGCTAAATTTGTTCTAGATTATTACGTTTCTTAATTACAGTTTAATATTAATTAGCAAAAGGAAGTTGACTACCTGAAATTAAAAATTAGAAATTAACAGAGTTTATTGTTATATGTCATGCGATTAACTCTTAGTTTCTACAACAAATTATACTTCCATCTTCCAAAAAATTATATTTAACATTTTAGAAATGAATTTTTTGATGTTTGATTAAGTTTTAAATTAAAAAAAAATGATTATTTTATCAGAGAACAAAATAAATTAATTTTTACAAGGAAAAAATATTTATAAGTATGATGTTTATTTTTCTAAAAAGGTAGAAGAATCAAAATTGTAATAAAGTCAAAGATCGAAATTCATTGCAAGGCCCCATTGATACGTATTGAGACCCCACTTTGAAGAAATTGATGGAATTAAGAAGGCAATCATTCAAGGACATGCCTTAAAATATTAGCATTATTGCCTTCTCTCATGAAAATAAAATCAAGAAATAAATAAATACGTGTGTCTGTCGTTACCAATATTTTATATTTTACAATTTGATTCCATCTTATATAATATTTTTTTTTTGGGTAATTAGGTTTTCAGGATAGCTTATCTATAGTAACTAATTTTCTGGGTCACCATCGATAGCTTGGAGTCATCATTGTTGATGAAGCGTCGTCGCTATCAGAGCTTTGCCAACGTCTGGATTCAAACTTGAGGCAGATGAGATTTTCTACTACATCCCCTTGAGGTTTAACCAATACGCTACAATCCAAGTGATTCTTATGTAAAGATTATATACATTATTGTTCATTGTCGTTCACAAGTCGGTTGCCAACCTTTTTTAAAAGCCAAGCAATTATATTAACAACAAAACAAAAACAACAACGAGAGTTCGAACGAACGAGGGTCGAGAACGGATTTACCGCCATATGGCTGACCGGCGATTACTAGCGATTCCGGCTTCATAAACGAAATTAAACCTACCAAAAAAAAAAAGACAAAAGCCCCTATAGCAAACAAAGGACTAAACCAAAACACTCAAACAAACAACAAACACACATCCCAATCAAGTGAAACATAATGAGAAATGCTCATAAGAACGCATCAACCGGAAAACAAAAATAGTCGCGGTTAAAGCTAATATGAACAACAAATCCCCGTAGCAGTTTCCAAACAAACTCGAACAAATTAGTCATGAAGTTTACAACCACTACGTCAATCCGACCAAGAAAAACTATTTATATTATGTTCTAAAATAATACTTTGATTTTTTTTAAATCACTCTAGACAAATGTTAACCAAATTTTGTGAAGAAGAAATGTTGTAAAGGTACGAAATTTACAATTTAATTATCAATGGTTTTAATTTGAAGGGGTTAAAAAATTGAACTTATAATTTCATATTAAAAAAAATCAACTATCTCTATTACTTGCTACAAATATTTGTAGAGGTATTAAAAAATTGAACTTATAATTTCATATTAAAAAATTACTGAAACTCGTTTGTATGGATCTTCATCATTCGTTAACAGATTATTCGATGTCAAAAATTATAGCTCCAAGTTAACATCTTAGTTTTTGTCCCACAAATTCTGCAATGATAATTAGAGTAATTTTAATGGCTATGTTAAAATAGAGATTTTGAAATATATTTTTACTCTAACAGTTAGCTATAATATAAGAGAAAGGAAACAGACATAAGATTGGAGAAATCTCTAAAACTCCATATTTAAAAAAAAGAAATAATATATAATTTTTTCCCACAAATATATAGAAGACATTGAAATTAAGTGTTTATAAGAAAGATATACTATTTTATTAAATGTATTAAAATATTTTAATAATATAATTAATGTTAAAAAAATTAAAATAGAATAACTGTGGGGATCATGTGAGACAATACTGTTTTTATGAGACAACATTTTTATACTTGAAATTTTACAACAAAACACTATAAAGATAACATTTACAATGTTTTTGCTATAAAGTTTTGACTTTTTTTTTTACTTTCACAACATTTTGTTGTAAAGTTTCAAGTGTATATACACGTACATACTTACTTGTGGTGAATGAAATATTTACCTTTACTTTGAGAGAAACTACAAGGGCAAAGCCTAAAATCAATCTTTTCCAAATAAAAAAAAAGTAAATTACAATGTTTATGAGAATAATTATAATATAATAATGTGAAATAAAGGTAGGGCATTGGCACGGCTATAAAAGGAACGTAGGTCTTGCCTACAATTCATGGAATCTTAAGCATCTCATGCTCCAACTCCCCAATATCTTCGATATTTCCCCCCACCTTCAAATCCGAGGCTGCCTTTATACAAAAATATCATAACATATATTAATATGGCTCTCCCTGAGTTACAAGTGGCAAAAACTCTACCTGATGCCTGGGACTACAAGGGTCGTCCGGCTCACCGTGCCACCACCGGCGGATGGATCTCTGCCGCCATGATTCTAGGTCCATCCTCCATTCATTATAATTACTTGCATTATATGTATATATTCTTCTTAACTAATTTTTGTGTTCATAGTAATCTGATTTGAAATATGTATATATATATATATATATATATATCAATTTAGGGGTGGAGGCATGTGAAAGATTTGCCACTTTGGGTATCGCTGTGAATTTGGTGACCTACTTGACCAGAACTATGCATTTTGGAAATGCAAACTCCGCCAATGTTGTCACTAATTTCTTGGGCACCTCGTTTATGTTGTGTCTTTTAGGGGGTTTTGTTGCTGATACCTTCTTCGGCCGGTAATTAATTACTTCATTTCTTAATCAAGTATACATTAATTAGTCTATTTATGAGAACTTCTATAAATAAATTCCTTATTTTGTTTTATGGTGTTTATAGGTATTTGACCATTGCTATATTTGCTGCGGTTCAAGCAACGGTAAGTAATATATTTCCTCTTTGGAATATTAAATCAAAAAAGGGTCAAAAATATTTCCTCATTAGTTCCAAAATATCCAAAAATAATTGATATCATAACTAAATAAAAGTGATTATGTTATATCCATAGTCTGAAGTTTTACTTTTTTTTAATAAACAGGGTGTGACAATCTTGGCCATCTCAACCGCCATTCCCAGTCTACAACCACCAAAATGCACCCCAAACAGCGGCGACTGTGTCGCGGCTACAGGGATCCAACTGATGGTTCTCTACCTTGCCCTCTACCTGACCGCCCTAGGGACCGGTGGACTCAAATCAAGTGTTTCAGGTTTTGGGTCGGATCAATTTGATGAATCGAACAAAGAGGAGAAGGCTCGAATGACTACTTTCTTCAGCTGGTTCTTTTTCTTTATAAGTATCGGATCACTTGGAGCGGTTACCGTCTTGGTATATATCCAGGACAATATGGGTCGGCGTTTGGGGTATGGGATCGTGGCATGTGCCATTGTTATCGGATTGGTGATCTTCTTGTTGGGTACAAAAAGATACCGGTTCAAGAAACTGGTGGGTAGCCCGTTAACCCAAATAGTTTCGGTTTTCGTGGCGGCATGGAGGAATAGGCATATGAAGATTCCATCGGATCCTTCCTTGTTGTACAGTGTCGATGATGTTGAAATTACAGAAGGAGTTGATGGCAAGAAAAGCAAGCAAAAGTTGCCCCACAGCAAACAATTCCGGTGAGCCTTTATTTTATTTTATATCTTCTTTAACTGAATTAACCGTATATTTTTTATCGCTTTTGTCTACATATACACATATAACACCACATCAAATGTCTATGTAATCTTGTATAAAAAAATCTTGAAATTTAATCAATTAGGTTAAACACGAATTGTTCTGCCTTTAACAATGACTTGGCACTATAATTTATTTATTTATTTCACGTCATATTAAAATCAAATTATTGAAGAGTCACAAGATAAATATTCATGACCAATTGGAAGAAATTTCACCATTATAATTCTTTATATTTTATTATATTATTATTTGTGTGAGATACATACAAAATTGAGATTTACTATGTGTTTTTCTATGATTTCATGATAGTTTGACTCCTAGGTCTAATCTACACATTATCCATATATACGTTTACAAGTTGTCTTCTTTTAACTACCATATATTTGTTCTAATTTTATTTTTTTAAATTTCTTTATAAAAAAATGAATTAATCATACATATATATTATTTTACAAAAATAGCTTTGCAAGTTATGGTTTTCAATTTGGAGTCTTTTATGGTTATAATTTAATTAATTAAATAGCATTTAATTTGACTTAAAAAAACTCAAAATTTAATTACAAAAAAATTATTAAAAATTAAAAGGGTTGCATATGAGGTGCATAATTGAGCATGTGATGATGATTAAAACTTACGAGCTATCTTTTTTACATCGGTTGGGGTCCCAAAAACCCTTTTTCCTAATCAATAATGAAAATAATTGATCAGAATATACTTTGAATTTCGGTGTCGTCCTTGATTTGCCAGCCAAGCTTGTGGGTGCCATTTTTTGTCCACAACTCAAGCAATTGGAGTAATACGCCAATCTTTTTCATTATTAATAATACCAATAATTCTCTAAATACTACGAACCACTTTTTGTTTTTACATGGATTTTATTCATCTTCATTTTATTTCATAAAATATATATTTAAATATCTTTCAATAATATTAATTGCTAATCTATAAACGAAAAGGAAAAAGAAATCGTAGTTTAATTAAAAACCTTCGTAAAAGAACATAAGACACCTTGCAATTATTTATTTAATGATGCATGGGAATAATAAATTTCTATAATTTAATTTATATATATAATTAACACTTTGAATCTACAACTCAAAATTATTTTAAAAAATTCATTTTTTTTTATAATTACCGAACGTAGCATTAAGATAATTAATTAATTGGATAATTTGATCTCGTATAGCGATGGCAATTATCCAAACATCCAAAAAGATTCTCTCTTTTTTCACCTTTTCAAGAATTTTGGAACCGTTTTTAAAATTGTTTTTATTTTAATCGTGGCAGACAGGCATTGAAAAATCAGTGATAATACCAAGGCCGGTTTAAGTACAAACATCAATGCATTTGGTACCATTATTGTCTATTAATTTATGGATCTAACTCCCATCCACCACATGTTTCACTTGCACCGACTGCATAAATTATTGTACACCCCATCTCGTATTAATACAAAAATGAAGAAACCCAGATGTATACGAGTCTTTACTAATACACTTTTAAAGTTCACGAATTTAGTATTGTGATTATGAGTGTCTCATGCATTAAAGATGGTAGATTAACGTGTTAATATATTTTAAGATTCCTCGATTGTAAACCTTAAATTATTGTTGTTATTTGGTTAAAAAGATTGAATAAAGCACATCTGATAAGATAAGATCGAAATACAAAATCCAACCATTTACAACTTTAATTAAACATAATCTGGAATTATTGAAGAAACATGCACATGTACATATAAGAAAGTGCATGCATGTGTCTTGGTAGTGCAATAAAAAACAAACGGCTACATGATCAAGAACATGAGATTTCGAATAATCAATCTTGATGCTACTTGTAACGTGAAAACCAAATATTTTGGCTTGTATTCCTAACCATTGGCCAGAAACTTGAAGATATTTATGTCTTTTGTCTCCTATTACTCAAACAAGAGGCTATTTTCTCTTATGCTTGAAAACAACATTTAAAAGAGAGCCTTTCTATCTCTTGGATGGTAGTATAAAAACAAAGTCGGTATACATCATATCCTTGTAGTTTATTCTCTACTTTTTATTAAATTTAATGGGTTTATTCAATTTGGTTTATTTGACAAATTAACTTTCTATAGTTCATGGTATATATATATATATATATATATATATATGTGCTAGATCTGTATAGGATATTTAAACGTGGTGTGATACATCTCGACCATACAAGAATTATCTTGTGGTGACAGTTGTGGTTTTTTTAATTTTCTTTCTATTATTGAAGGTTGTATCTATTTTTTGCAGTTTCCTTGACAAGGCAGCCATTAAAGATACCGAAAGATCTTATGAATCAATAGTTGTAGTAAATAAATGGCGTCTTTCGACTTTAACTGATGTGGAGGAAGTTAAAATGGTGATCAGAATGCTACCAATTTGGGCTACCACAATATTATTTTGGACCATATATGCCCAAATGACCACATTCTCAGTGTCACAAGCTACCACAATGGACAGACACATTGGAAAATCTTTCCAAATCCCAGCGGCTTCCCTCACCGTTTTTTTCGTTGGAAGCATCCTCTTGACGGTGCCGATCTATGACAGGATCATCGCCCCTATCGCCAAACGGTTCCTCAAACACCCACAAGGGCTAAGCCCTCTCCAGCGCATAGGAGTTGGGCTAGTCCTATCCATATTGGCCATGATTGCAGCTGCCCTGACCGAGATCAAGCGACTAAACGTTGCACATTCACATGGTTTAGTAGATGATCCGTCTACGGTGGTCCCGCTTACAGTCTTTTGGTTGACCCCACAATTTATATTAGTGGGGGCCGGTGAGGCGTTTACTTACATAGGACAACTTGATTTCTTCTTAAGGGAGTGCCCAAAAGGGATGAAAACGATGAGCACTGGATTGTTTCTGAGCACGTTATCATTGGGGTTCTTCTTTAGCTCTCTTTTAGTGACAATAGTGCACAAGATTACAGGAGATAAGCACCCATGGATAGCTGATAACTTGAACCAGGGGAAACTTTACGACTTCTATTGGCTACTTGCGATTCTAAGTGTTTTCAACTTAGCATTGTTTCTGTTTTGCGCAAGATGGTATGTCTACAAGGAGCGTAGGCTTGCTGAACAAGGTATCGAGTTGGAAGAAGACGACTTTACATGCCATGCGTAAAATTGGAGTTCTTTTTTTTTTTTTTTTAGATTTCCCTTTTGATTGCAAAATTCTGCTTCTTTTTCTTCCCTCCTTTGGCGTTATGCCATGTTTGGTTCTAACTTTTTGTGAAAAATAATAAGGGACAAAAATGGAAGTGTAAAAATGGAGGCCATTTTTGTTGTTTAGATGAAAAAAGGGGGTTCGATGAATAAATGGCTGTTCAAATCTTCTCGCATCTTTGTGATTTGCTGTCTTATGACTGTTTTTTTATAATTTTTGAGCTCAACCTAAAAGAAAACCCGTTACTTCAATAATCTAGAAGATGAACTCGCATAACTAAAAATACTTGATGGTGATTGCTTGTATGCTTATTGTTCAGACCGTTTCTTACTAGAGCAGGAGGTATATATATATATGCTTCTCAAGAATAAGGGGCCCTTTACCCATTGCTTACCCTTGTAAGAGTCTAACACTTTCATTTAACATATCTGGTAACTTAATTTTAATCCATT